TGCAAAGAGTTGAGAAAAATATTTAATGTAATAGTTGTAATAGATGTAATAGTTTATTCAGCTCAAAAAATTAAAACTTGCTGCTATTATACATTTTGTGAGATAGTTCCCAGTCACGATGCCAGATAGCGCCACCAAATTTGATATACCGATACCGTAGATAGTTATTCAGATTCAAAATCTGTATGTTTGTGATGTCATAACTCCCACTATTTTTACTTCGTCCTGTGCTTGCTCGGAACTAGACTGGTACGATATAATACAATAATACATTCGTAATAGTAAAGTTATAACACAACATTAATACGTAACTATCTCAACGATTTATAATCTAATAAATCGAACCGCACAACGCAGACCTAATTAACATCGAGAAATGGCATTCGAAAAAAAAACTTAGAAGATGAAATACAGCCAAATGGGCGATATTCTACACGCGTGAATTCGAGCGAATTTCTACGGTCTTTACAACTGCTCGCAAACTATTTTGAAGAGACCTATAAATACATACCTGCCGGCCGCAATATGCCACAAGTATACAGGGACCAAATGTGTATTTCCTATCCGATCGAATCGTTCCTAAATGTTACTATTAGGGTAATTGTTGCTACGACACCTGCTCGTATGCTGTTCACCAATGTTTAAAGTTTAAGAGCCGCATCGAGTTATTTGAATTTATACAATGTTGGCTGACAAGTGACTTTAAGTAAATTAATTAACTTGTGTGGAATAGTTGTAAATGATCATTTTTACATAAAAGCAGACTAATATCCCTCAAAAGGTGAAATCAATGTTATCAAAAATTATAATCAAGTAATTATTAAGTTCCGTAATAAACGTCCCATAGTTGAGAAACAGAAAACACTGAAGCAATCGCGAATCATACGTTCGCGAGACTTTTAGGGAAACATTTAAGCGTCGTAGGTATCTTTCATATTATGCGTTAAACTGAACCGTGGAAATGAAAACTTTTAATCGAATGCCGTCTAATTTTTGTTGTTCATGTAGATTCGACCACGGCTACATCCTGGGACGACCTTAATAAAAAGTTTGAAATTACAAAAACGATTCGTATGAATTCGTTAGGTACTAATTTCTGTGAATTGTTTCAGTAATGCGTGGCATTCTTTCACTTTATCTCCGCTGTGCATCGAATGAAAATCGCCACGAGTGGAAAGTCCAGCTGACTGAAGGGGAAGAGCCATAATAATACTGGCACATCCGAACGAGTAGTTTGTTTATTCGAGGAAAACTGAAATATTTATCACGAGAATCGTAGAGAAAGGGGGATTTCTTGATTCCTGTTCTATTTAACTTTTTTTCCATTTGAGAGTTAGATGGAACAGAATTCTACATCTAAATAGAAAAAGAAATTAAGAGCCCGACAAAAATAGGCGTTATAGTATCTAGATTGCGATCAGACATATAAAAAAATAGATGAGGATAGTAATAATTGAAAATATAAAAAAAAAACAAACAATCTTACTCACCCCTCGAACAAAATAAAAAAAAAAAAAAGGGATTACCTGGACTGAACGTGTTAATGGAATCTCGCAGAGATAGCCTGTCCGAGCTTAATCTAGAAACGAATTGGAGGTGTTTGTGGGACAACGGAGTCTGGCAATATACGTATAATGCATACGCGTGTACATGTACACGCTCCAAATAAGATCTCAGGTTGCCAGTGTGACACCTGAGCGCCCTAAAGGGACCTCACGTGGCCGGGTGAGATTTTCTTGCACGGTTATACGGTAACACTTGGACCGCGTAACACTTGGAAGGTGTCGGCGGGTCCTTCGGCCAGGGTCACTATCACGAGGTGGCGGACAGCGAACGCAGAATAGGTCTTCGCCGACGCAAACTGTAACAGGAGCGACGAAAAGGGAAAACGATGGTGCAGGAGAGACGGCATTCGAGCGAGTTACGTGTAAACTCGATACTCAGCTGGATCATCAGAGCCTGACATTCGAGGCTCTGCCGTGGCTCGGCCAGAAAAGGATCAACCTGGGTGAACCGAGACTCGTAAAAACAAAGCTTGTGGTGTAAGTCTTTTCGAGCCCCTCCTCGGCTACAACTAACGTCATTTGTTCCAATAAGTTGCGGCTGACCGCCGGGGCTCTCTATTACGGCCAGTTTACTGCAAAAGTGTTCACTGATCGACAAATATCTATCTACGATCGAATTACCTTGGGCTGATTAACCTCCTCGCGGGACTAACAGAAATTTTGATTGCTTCTGAGAAATCTTACTTCGAGGACGTTTCAGACAATTGAATTTCTGCTAATGCTGAGTCTCGTCTCGTGATTAATTCTATTCAAGTTAATGCAAGTTCAAGTTAATGCGGTATTTTCCCTTTACAGGATGTTTATGTACAGCAGAAATTCAGTTTCTTCCTAAAGAGAGATTCGAGATTAGAGAAACGTGTCCAGTGAACGCAAAAATGTCACGGCTGAACACTAGCAACAACGGTGCCAGGTCCCTAGTTTTCATTTTACGAGCCCCGAGTCTCGAGTTTCACAATTTTCTGACCCACGTGGTGGGGGGGAGGGGGCCTTTGACTTTTTGAAATGAGAACCGTCAGGCTTGGTCGTGTTTCGCTCTGCTCCCTCTTCTCCTATCTTCGTCTTCTCAAACAAAGCACAACGCGAGAAGCAATTTCGAGACTTCTTGGACGATGTACCGACGCAGGTCCGCCAACACAATGGAGGAAGATCGAGGTAGATCGAGAAAGATCGAGGTCGACGCCAGTCGAAGCGGCGCCAATCTGCTCCAACACGCTTCGAAGTTTATCAACATTGTCGACAAAGCTCCAGCCGTCCACTTTTTAGACTCTTAACCGACTTCTTTTAGATGGATGTAACAAGGAGAGTGTGTCAAGCTATACGAATTTCGATGGTGCGAAATTAGCTACCGTATAAATATTCGCTAATTCGTGGCACGAGCCTCGGCAATGTTGCTGTTGTAGATCATCGGTCCTTCAGCGCCTTGCGGGCTAAAAAAAAATAACCATCAACCGCGGTTCAACTTTTTCAAAGTGGGGCCATTATTTATTGCAACAGAGATCGAGATAAGAATTGAAACTTTGGATCCAATATTAAAAGCGATCGCGGCTCCATCGACCACTTTATTACCGAGAACCTGTCCGTGGTAAAAGAAAAAAAAAAAAGTGAAAGGCAATTAAGCTCTGAAACATACAAGTGATTGAAAAAAGTTAATGGAGTCCATATGCCCGAGACCGAAATTAAAGAGGTCCACGTTGTATTTTTTTCGGGCCAGTGCACGAGCACTTTACGCGCGGGAGTTTACCTAAAAGTAATTGTCCGAAATGCCTCAAATAGCATTTACCCATAAATACGTTTGCAAGTTTGCGTTCCACCGTCTTGGTGGTAGCATGGTTATGCATCGGATGAAGCGCCTAACTACAGCTCTCGAATAACGGTTGAATAAATCACTGCATATAAAATACTTTCCTGCAGAAATTGTATGGTGTCGAGTATGACACGTGACAAATGAGTCGGTTTTTTGTTACCTACTTTTTTCACACAAGGTATCGAGATCAACTTTGACTTTTTCAACGGAGTAGCCAACTCGTTCTCTCTCGATACCATTTACGAAAGTACCGATGACGAAATACATAGTTGAAAGGAATAAAGGAATAGTGCAAAGGGACTGTGAAAAATGATACCGTTTCGCCAAAATCGTTACGGTCAGTTAACGTCCTCTCGCGTTTGAGCACATCAGCATTTTCGAACCTTCGGTTCGGATCGGAGCAGCGAGGTAACATTATAGCATCAATTTCTCTTGACGTACGACCCAATGAGCCGGCGTGGCTGATGAGGCATCAAACAGTACATGTTGCCTGCACCATTCACCGACGTATACCGAAGACCTGACCACGTAATGGTCAGCGGAAGATCCGATTTCGTTATGTTAACTCGTTTCGCAACAATATATCTCTGTATATGGGCTATGGACACAAACGGTCGCGATGCACGCGCGAACGAGCTGTATTCGTTCACCGTTGCTGATTGCGAGACAAATGGCACGGTCCGATGATAAGGGTGACTCGAATCCCTAAAGAAAGTTCCACAAGGTTGGAAACATATAGAGACAATGTAAAAGGAAACTGGTGAAACTTTGTAACAGTGAAAATAGTGGTTGAAATGATAACTAGGCAAACGTGGATACCTGGATGCTGATTAGAAGACAAACGGTGCCAATTGGATGACCAGGTTCGATGACAACGATCAGCAAGGTTCAAGAAGGTTGGGAAAATACAAGCACAAAATAAAAAGGAACTAGGGAACTGTATGACGATAAAAACATCGATTAAAACGATGATTTACATAATATGGATACCTTGATGTTAATTGCAAGACAAATGGCGCCAACTGGATGACCAGTTTCGATGATAACGGTGACTAAAGGTACGAAAAGGTCGAAAAGATACAAGAATGAAAAGAAAGGAGAAACGGGAAACTGTAACGATAAAAACACCGGTCGAAACGATAACTCGCCAAACATGGATACCTCGAGGAAGCCCTACCACGGACGTCTTTACCCCTTGTATCGTTTTGCTTGTCCGTACAAGTTTTTTTCTTAGTTCCTTTTCTCGGGGCATGCCTATTGCGAACACGATCCTCCCGAAATTCGTGGTCACTTTTATGAATTACGTTACGCTGTTATGTAACGAAGACGGTTCCGCATTTCAGGAATAACTCGATGAGCGAGTGCATCGATTGGCAGCTTCTTCGTGCCGAATACCATTGAGCAAAATTAGAAAATGCAGGATCGAAGAAGGGTTAGCTGCAGTGAGCCACGAATTTGAATGGTGCAAGTGGCAAGTAACAAAAAGACGCCGTTCTTTTACAGCTATATATATATACATATATTCTTTCAAATGGTTATCACGATATCTCAAGTTCTTCGAACGACTTGAAATTCACAATGATCCATAATGGTGAATTATGAAAATCTTTTTATTTTACATAGTACATATTTACAACATTGATATCTCAAAACGTATTTTGTAATTCGTATCTTCGTCCTAAAGATACAAATTTGCGACGTCCAGTTTCAGAATTTCATTATTTTCCACGATACGGATTGTGGTTCAGGGGCGAGTGTATCGGTGATACGAAACAAGGATACCGAAAAAAAAGTCGAGGATCTCGATCTAGGGGCGCACCGTTACTGATTACACCGGTACGCATACATGCCCTTCATGGTAACAACGTAACACGATGCATTCATAGGGATACACACGGGTACGCGATATGCAACGTTCAGGCACATCGGCATGTCGCGTCACGTTGGTGTTGGGTAGACGCGCGCGTTGCCCGAGGAGGCATGCACACGAGGAGCGTGGAATCGACGAGAACGTATCCCGGTGCCGAGGAAGAAAGAGAAAGAGTTATATGCACGGACGACGTACGGTCACCCTGCGATCGACTCACGGGAGTAAAGGTTTTACCGATGGCGTACCCCCATACACGCAGAGAAGAGCATATAGGCAAGAGGTTCCCACACTGCAGACCATGATTTATTGGCCTGCCACCCGCCAGACCTGCTGTCATCATCGTCCCATGGTTGGTCCAAGATACAGCGAAGCGTACCGTATATAACTTCCCTTTCTGCACGATCTTCGCGCCATATCGGCTCCTTCTTTCCTCGCGCCCCGGCGAAACAGGAAGGTCCCGTTTGATGCCGCTCTACAACCGTCCATCCGCCTTGTTTTACCTTATGCAGCCCGATACCCGCCGCTCTCACCGTGAGTTAATAATTAGCTCTTTCTTATCTATGCTACGGGGATTATCTCGACGTAGGTAGCGCAACGTTTGCTTCTCTTTTTCGTCGCCCCTTCGAGGACGAGATTCTTCGTCCGTGCGACGGCGACTCAACGGCCAGGCGGCTAATTGCTTGGATTTTTCTATGCCTCTTCCCTCCCAGGAATATGCATATTTGGTACAGAGTGAGAGAATCGCTCGTGTCACACTTTTCAGGCTCTCATGTTTTTTGTAACTTGGAGTCAGGTCACCCATTCACTGCTAACTGTCTAGTAGTTTGTACTACGAGTTTGGATTGATTGCAATTGGTCGCAAGTGGGAATTTTCGGAAAGGATGAAAGAGAATTTTTTCTCTAGACACGGGTGCTTTCGTATCACTTTTTATTATCGAAATAATAATTTAGATTAAGTCATACGAAGAGAACAACTTCTACGCAAAGTACTCCAAGCTTCCCAACCCTTAGATACTTTTCAACCCCCCTTTGATGGTCCTCGATTCCAGGATAATACTCTAATATTTCGAGAGTTTTCAGAATTCAACATTCGAGCATCAAAAAAAGTATGTCGACTAGTCCGATTGCCATCCTGCCGATTACCCGTCTGTGGTGAACAACCTCCACACGTGCACGTCGTGACCCTGGCACACAACATTGCAGAATATTTTTGGAATATGTCTGCTGCAAAGTTGCCGAACCCTCCCTATGTCTCCGTCCGCGCAAATTATTGCTACGCTTCTGCAACGCATCGGACGATATCGCCGTGATGTTACGTAAACGTACACGTTCTTGATACGTCGTGTTTATCGCACATTTTTTTCTCACTTTTTTTTTTTAGAACATGTAAATTGCATTCTTTTAGGGAAACGGAACGAGTGAGAGCACGCTTTCCTATTGAATTTACGAGGAATTCTCATAACTATTGAGAGAAACTCATTCATCCTTTCAAACACCGAAACACCCCCTCGCGAATCACGTACGTAAGGCTATCTACCTACATATAGATCCATTGTAGAGATGGATTCATGTAGATTAAGTTTAGGACTCGAAAGAAGGATATCACAATGTAACAAAATGACAAGTATTTCTACGCAAACTGGAGTCATAAATGATTGACAATTTTACACAGTAGCGAGTTCATGTCAGCGGTTCTCCAAAAATTCCCTGTATTCAGGGTCAGTCGTGGGACGGGCACGTGGGCGGCGCGGTGGCACATCCACGGCAAAACATAGGAAATAGGTAGACGTTCGGTTTTGATCGGTCGTGGGGAACGAGGCAGGGTTGAGAGCCAAGGGAAAGGAGGTAGAAGGCGAGGAGAGGAGTGAGGGTTCCTTCCAGAAGATGGGGCAAACACGAAGCCGCTTCGGTAGGGAGCGTAGAGGGGTTATTTCGTTTCGTCTCAGCGTGGTTTCCCAAGCGGTAGCCTCGCTCGCTGACTGGCAACGTCTACCGTTCGGCACACAGTCGAACCCATTCGCCACTGGACGACAGACGTCGCGGCGTCACAACGTCGTCCCTTCGCTCGCGTAGTCCCTTTCTGTCACTTGTGCTTCAGACTTCCTGTCATGCTCCATCACGGGCTTCATGTCGGTTTCATTGTCGCGTTTGTGTCGGTGTACGCGCGCAGTGGCACCGGTTGCTCTTTCTGCGAGAGGCTATCGCAGCAACAGTTGTCGCAGCAGCAGGGATACAGGACGATCGGTAGCCCCAGGCCCTTCGGCGCTGAGAAACCGACCAGGGCGCAGGAGTTCAACAGAACAGGGGTGCTGCACCCCGAGTACCAGATACCAGCCAACCTGCGACCAGGAAATGTATCTCAGTGAGTACTAGCCAGCCTTTTTTCAGAGTTTATCGTAGGGGCTCGATTCGGTAACGTAATAGGGGTTGTTCACCGTGTATATCCTTTCGAGGGTGAACTTCTTACTCGCTAAAACCCTCACGGTACACCTCTTGGATAAAACACATCCTTATCTTTGAAGAAAAAATACTGAAGCACGGTTGAAATTGTGGGTCTCGCCAACTCTTTGAACTGTACTATTAAATATTATATCATCCTACATATAAGTTCATGGTACAGATTCTGTAGCGACGGTGTAATAATTTTACTAGAATGTGAGTGATTACATTCTTTTATAATACTTAAAGTTATGTTTCACATATTAATTTAAATATTGGAACAATAGTCTTCAGAACTTCAGGTCTCGATTAGTCTGAATCTACCTCCAGATTTAATTAATTTAATCTCATATTCTAATTGTAATTATTCGCGTTAAGTTTATGTGTTCTCCTTAACATGATTTATATTGCAATACGAGTGGTTATCTGGAACAATAGTGAAATGCGTGTTTAGAATAATTTCTTCGCCAAAATGTTTAAAATGCTCGGGTTTTGATCTAAAATTAACCGAAACGTAAGAAAGGTGCATTCACTTTTCGCCGAACTATAGAAACAATTCATGCGAATTTCGTTTGTGCTACACAGCTTGTTTACCATGCACGTGTACCAGAGTCCATGGAGCTCCGAACGTTTATACAGAAACGTCATGCACCTCGTGCCACGTTTCAGCAACCATGGCGCGGATTTTACAAACACAATTCGGCTTACTTTACTGGCGAATGATATAATCCTCTCTGCGCATTTCATGCGCTGCCGAACAAAGAATTTCCTGCACGTTTTTCTTCGGAAGCACACCTATTTTCGTAACGGTTGTTAATATCATATCTTCGATCGTTACGACGGTATAATAACAGTACAATATATAATTTCAAATATTAATGTCGTGGTACAAAACTGAAACGAAGTAATTCAAATTGAAAATAGAAATCAAAACTTCGCCATCTAAAACACAAGCACTAGTTTAATTTAAACAAGTTACGATAGCATTTAACTTTTTTGTTTGCAAAACTGACTGATTACACTTTTTTGAAATGATTTAAAAGTTTTCTTGACAAAGTTTCGATGATATATGATTGAATGTAAATAATTTATTGTTAAGATAAACCAATTTAATTTGCCTAAATTATTTGGTGAAGTAATATTGCGCTATATTTGCGTGTACGATGGTTTTACTTAAATGATACTAGTGCAACAATTGAGCTTGTTTCATTGTTAGCAATTAAGGGACGGTATAACGAGAATATAGAAAACAGTTAAACAACAAATTTCTTGCACCGATGTTGTCGTTAAACTCTTAACTTTGTCGTAATGGGTCCACGACACTTAATGGCCCGATGCGTCGCGACGCTACGCGTCATAAAGTTTTACTATCAGATGGCTTCCACGAAACTCGTGTACGAGTCAAATTGCACATTTTCAGTAAACATTTAGATACCGAACCACGTGTTAAACTTGAACTTTATACGTACATTCAAACCCTAGACATATGAACGAGTACTTTCGCAAATTCAAATTAGTCTACAAATATAGGAAATTAAATCCTTTCGATCTCTGCAAGCAACGTTACGTTAATTAAGAATGGTTACAAATTTATGAAAATTGTTAACGTCACAAATTAAAGGCCTATTTTATTTTTATTTGCTTCTCTCATTCGAAATTCGATTAATAATGTTAAACGTGTGCTTCGTATCAAAGTTGAAAAACATCGGCTGTTCTCGTCTTTTTAAATAAACAAAGCTCGAGCTTACTTTTCGGTATCGTACCGAGAAATGCCAAAGCTTACAAAAAAAACACCATCCAACTGTAACGCGTTAATTCCTATGAAGCTAAAAGATTGTTTGTTTTGTTACAAATCAAATGATTAAAAAAAAAAAAAAAAAAAAAAAAATAGAATCGCAGTCGGTGTACTTTGAAGAACCCAAACTCTTTGGAATAATCGAGCTTTCACTTTTCATTATATCCCCTTTCGTACAAAACCAAAGCTCCTAAGCAACAAGTACCTAAGCTTTGAAGAACCAGTAGAAATGTACTCTTCCTTTTTTAGAATTCTTAATTACGACAGGAGCCTCGACAATTGCATAAATTCCACCCCGATTTCCTGCAATAATCGAGGTCCCACCGCAACCTAAATTTCTTTCAAATGTAAATCGAACCATTAATGTCCACCAACCCAAACAGTTATCGCTCCCATGAAAGTAAAACCAAGTACTATTTCGAAGGTGATAAACGACCGATAGCCACCGTTGTCCATGAACTCTATTAACCGGGAAGGACGTCGCGACGCCGCGCGCCATACGCCGTCCTATCGGCGTCGCGTTTCCACGAAACTCGGGAAACGGTCTCGCGAGCCGAATGACAGAATCAATTCGAGTTTACCGCGGGACAAGCCGACCGCCAAAATTAGACGACGGGGGTCGTGGCTGCGCGACCCCAGACGCCGCGACGCCGGCATTGTGTGTAGACGCTAATTTTACAATAGCCGTTTCAGTGCCAGCCCGTGAGCGAAAAGCACGTGCGGCGTCCCGACGCTCTCTCGTACGACGCTAACGGGATGAGACGCGACGACGTCCTAGGGGATGGCTGGGAGCGGCAAGGGGGTGAATAAGAGAGAGCGAAGGTGGCCGAGAGTGAGCGAGATAGGTAACGACCGCTATACCGAGGCGTAAATTTAAACGATGCGATCTTTAAAGGGGGAGTTTTGCACGGGCATGATCGCACATTATAACTAAATATAAACGTCGCTATGCGTCTGTATAGTCACTCCCATCCGCGTGTGTGTTGGTCGATTTCGTGATTTTAACCCGTTCGTGTCATACGAAGGGATGGAACCAAAAATTTTGTTCAATCATAGTCGATTAAAGATATTTAAAAATATTAGAGACGTAATAAATATTACAGGCTTAATATTCTATTTTGATCTTCTCTCTTGGGTATAAAGGAAGTTGCAGGTATTCAAAGTTTATTATCAACGAAATTAGAGTTATGGAAGGGGTACAGTGTAAATGTAACGGTGAACCATCACGTTTTGTATCTGATTACGCTAATACACATCGAGCATCAATGTCATACTGGATGCAGGTGAAATTATTGCAGGTTCTACTACCTGAGTCCACGCGAAGGGCCTTCATTGACGTTGCTCGTCAGCCCCTGTAGCGGACCGATATCATGGACTGTCAGTTACGTAGAACCACCAGAGAACACCGAAGAAACCGAGGGCACGAAATGTAAGAGAAACAAATAGAATCGTCATTCCTTAAAATACTTGCTTCGGGAAGCAAATCAATTTAACGATATAATTAATTCTCTGCTTCAATAACCATCTGTTATTGTCACTATTGTCAGGATTATTGTGAACGATTTTGAATTGAATGATTTTTAAATGATAATTGAACGTGTTTGCGCTAATGGAACAGCGCAAACACGATGGCCAGTGAAGTCTTTGAAGCCAGGCTCGCCCCTTTTCACGTACCAAGGCGCGGAGGATCAGAATTTCACGATACCCAAGACACGCGCTGGCCTTTATTGGTTCGAAATTCAAGCATTGGACCCCCCCGACGACAATTTACAAAAATTGACACCCAGTACGGTGCTTTTGTACGCGACGTCCAACGACTTGGATCACGTCACGGAATGGCACCTTAACGACACGAAGAATCGTCGTCGTCCGTTGAAGTTTCAGCAGAGGAGAAGTAAACGGCGACTCACGGTGTCCTGGAACAAAAGGTACCATTGTACCGTCGTGGTACTTTCATGGTTATATCGTTTATTAACGACAAAGTTTGAGTTATCGATCGATATACCATATCTGAGAAGCCAGCTCTCGATGGACGCTAGGAATTCGTGGTGGATCCGTTTTATTTTTACAGCGCCATCGACCCCCACCTCTCGCGCTACTGTTTGGCTGTCACATCGGGGTCCCAGCCTCACCCCTTGACCCTTTGCGCGGCGCAGAATGTTCTCCACGTTCATCCCCATCCAATGAAAAGGAGTTCATCGTCCAAGGAGCAGCTACACCGCGGCATTCCCGAGGGACTCCACTGCGTACGTCAAACGAAACTGACGCTGCACAGGATGAAGTACGACACTACGTACAATTTCACGTTATACGTGGTTAGTAATCGAACGGATCGTCGAATATCTTTCATCCAGGGGGATGAAAACCAATGACTAGGCTGCGAATGTTCATGCAAATTCATATTTTCACAGCTACAGAAAAAAATTATAATTTTCTTCCACAACCTTTCCACCTTTTAAGGGATGTGTACATGTTATTTGTTTTCAACCATTTCGATATATTCAGATCGTACCATTCATCAAAAATCAACATGGACTTTTCAGACAACCCGATATTTTTGCATTTGTACACATTCTCACACGTATTCCGATGCTTCGACTTGCCATGAGTGCACAAACATTCGCAGTCCATCAATAGCCTAGTCGAATGTAGAGTCACAACTGTAGAACTGTTTTTACTTTGTTCCAGGTGAACACTCGAAACAACGTCTCGAATCGAGTAGCCACGGACACGATGAAGTTCCGAAAAACTCCAGAGTTGACGTTGCCCAATGGACGTTACACCACGGCCAGTTTGCGCAAAACTGATGGATTCGTTAATTTCCGCTACCGTCCTCCAGAGAACATCTCGAGCACCTTTCATATTCTTCCGTGCGGGGGTGGAATCGTCAAAGCCAAATTAAGCGGCCCGGGAATTTTACGGGTAATGAAACATCTTTCGATGCGTGTTCGTGCCATAGTCTCTCCAACGATCTCTACGTACGGTGATTAACTTTAATATTCGTAATTGAGGTGATATTCGATGTTGAACCATTGAGTCTGATTAACAAAAGTATAAGGACGCGCGTTTTATTCATAATGTTTCTTATGAAATAAATCTTAAAGAAAACAGGATCTAATCAGGTTCTAATTTTGATAGAATATTAAAGTTACTCTGTGTACATAGGACCGGGCAAAATTTTATTCGAATGAATAGTTATATTTTTATTTGTACCCTATGTGTTATGTACCTGAAAGATTTATCTAGTTTTTCTAATTGTTTGCCTGTTTCTGCATAGGAAGCTCTATGTAAACGTAATTACATATTGGTACTGAGTACTTGCATCATTATTCCGAAATTTCACTGTAGCTAATAATTCATGTCTAAAAAAAAAAAAATTTTTTAATTTATATCAACTCAATTACCATGTATGTACATACAGGAAGAACGTGATACGATTAATTTCAATAGTTCTTACAGCTCAATTTCACATTTATGATGAATTATTTTACTTCACATGCAGCACATAGTTCTAATTATTCGTATTTATCCGTAGCTTCGTGAAAGACAATTACATTGGACAGATATTATGTTTCATGATTAGGTACGGTTTCGTGTGAAATGAAAGGTTTCCGTTGTCGGTATCGATATTATAAATAATCTACGTTTGTAGGAAAAGGAAGTAGTAGGATATGCGTCATTAAGGGTGCCACCTTTAACTTCAGGAAAGACGTACACGTTACGGATATCCGCCACGCCTCAGGAGCTAGCACGAGTGTTCGCCATAAAGGTATTAGCTACCCAGGAATCCTCTGCGATATTTCCACAGGTGTGTTCATACGAATTAATTATATTTCGATTCGAAAGCGTAGAAATATCTTCTTGGTACGCAAATTTTGTTTCTCGATTTGATATTGTCTTGGTGAATCCATGAGCTGCTTATGTGATAAAATCTTGCAATTCATTTTCCAAAGCGGTTTATGGAACATACTTTTCCACCTAATTATAAAATAATCACAGATCTTCCTTTTTTCTTAAAACGAGAACAGTTTAAAGTTCGTAATTATTCAACGTCGACCAACTATAAATCTATAAAAGATACCCCGAGTATCGTCGTCATTTTAATGTTCACCTGAGCAAGAATCTGTGATTTTTATCCTGGAAGAAGTCAGACCAAGTGTGATATCCTGTTTAGATACCATCCAGAAGTGCGCCGCGCGAATACAGATCCCTAAGAACCTGCCACGAAGTGACAATAGGGATAGAATCAGCTGGCACGGCCAAGTATTGTATTCTGGTGCAAGAGTTAAAAAGCGCCTCGTCGTTGGCCAGAATAACGATCCCAGACCAATGTAACCTTCATCGTCGACGACGTTCGGACTACACCTTCGAAGTTTGCGAAGAAAAACAGAGTCCACCGAAGGATCGAGCGCTACCGTTCACCCTTAAGCGGTTGCAGCCAGGAAAGGCTTACGTTTTGCAAATCACGGCGCAAATGAAGGGACAATCTTTGTCCTATCCGTTATTAGGTGTACGCACTCGACGTTCCTGTTCACCTTGACTCCGAAAAGCCAAGCAAAATGAAAACAACCAATGATAATTGTTAAGAACGAACATTTTTCGAGCACCTGGACCGGTTCGATCCTGTATCTCTATATTTATCTTTTGTTTTAGTTTCCAACGATTATTTCCTTCTACGGAAGATCTAGGTTACAGCGACGACTCTGTAATTGTCGCGTGGTTATCCTCACTCTTTATTTATTTTTTAGGTTCAGTTTCATATAAATTGTACGAGAGTCTAAATACACGTTCGTTCGTGGTCCATCATCGTTGAACGCTAAATACACCAATTGAATATTTAACTTAATGATTAATTCGATAAACTAATATCCGAAATAAATGAATTGATTTTTAATATCCTCTTTGCTATAAACGAACACGTTTTTATTTTGATAATCTGCTATTCCGTTTCGAGGCTAAATCTAGTCTAGATCTACAAACGATCCGCGATCGAAAATGATTCACCTGGAAATATGCATTTCTTTTCTAGTTTAAGTTCTTCTTATTGTCTTGATTGTAAAAAAAAATATCAGTATCTTTGTCTTTCCTCGAGAAAAGATTCTTCTCTTCTATTCACACTAAGCGAAGTAAAAGAAATCACGTAGGTACTAATTACACGATCATACTGTAAATACATCGTAAGTTTAATAACATACCTACTGTTTAAGTGAAACGTGGAACGTGACACGTGAAAACGAACAACGAATGAAACCATACACCGCGGTCCCGATAGTCACGACTATGCCTACTGTGTGGTCACGAATGAATGTTCAGTTTTATCGCCGTTCATTTATACAAAAAAGTCTGTCATTTTAATCCTGTGTTATGTTATATACCTGTGTAATGTAAGTTCGTAAATTGAGATTAATTTTTTTTAACATAAATACCTTTTGTAAATGTAATATAATACAGTCTACGAAATATAGATAATTCTAAGAGTACAAATTCCATTGTCAGCATTGAAGATGTTGATGACACTACAGCTCGGTCTGTATCAAGTCCTTGAGCTTTTCACCGGGTGAGTTAGGTGGTTCGAATTGCAGCAATGATGCTGCATCGGAAAGAAGCCTTTTTTCATCTTCTCCGGGACAAGTGGACAATTCTCGCAAGGCAACAGCCGTGTACAAAGCCAATCTTGCTCCGTATGGGTCCAATAATTTAGTAGTTTCTATGATACGTTTACACAATTCAGGTTTCTTCGGATCATTCGCGGGCAGCATCTGAATCAACGAGTGACTGACGGTGATGCACTGCTGGTGGCCTGGATGCAATAGTGCTGAAAGTCTAAATCGTTAAATAAATAAATATTACATTTAACCACGGATAGATAATAATTTCCACAAAGTTGCTTCGTTAGAAATGGAGAAAAATTATTTTACCGATGAAGAAGATCGAGCATCGCGTTTTTCTTTGCTTGGATCATAACTTCGTCGACGTCCTCCTCCAATTTCCCAGTGAACTGCATCACCTCCGAGGCTGTGAGTACTCCTGGACACGAATTGCAACCCCAATCTGACTCGAAGTCCAATGGATCCTTGGGTAAAATGAGACCGTTGTCTTGAGGGCATATTAAAGTGCCCAGGTGCGTGCCCAATTCCGTTGGGTCGGAGCATCGTACGCAGCGGCAAGAAAAGTATTTTGTCTCTCGAAGATGAGCTCTTCGGGCCATTGTTGCCCACAGGGCGTGCGTGTACATTGTGCTCAGATGGTCACCCCTGAAACAGGTGATGAGATAAGCTACTTTACAATTCGATATTTATGGTATAATGAAAGCAATCCCTGAACAGTTGGCTGAGAAAGATTTAACATAGAGACGACGTACTTTTTTATGAAGCATAACGCCTTCACGGTAATACGAGGTCTTCCTTTATCGTCAAATGCAAAAGTGTGTTTCGTGTTGGCCAGACAAGAGTGCTCCAAGAGGCACGCCGTTTCGTAGATCGCCACCGAGCCTTCGGGTGGTACTGTTTCCAATGCGTTAACGTCTATCAAGCCGCAAATTTTCTCCACTATGCTATTCCCATCGGGACTATCCGGTAGAAAACGTTTAACGTGCCGAACCACGTCCTGAGCCTCGGCATATGCAGTTGTTCCAGGTCCTCGAGAATCCTCGTGGCTCAATAATTTTTCTATAGCTGCCCAAGTCCTGGACTTCTTCCGCCAGAGTATTAACATACGTATCACCAGAAGAACGTCACATCTACGAGAAACATGGTACGTTTCGTATATAAACAGAATTAATAATAAAATTGGCCCGTTGTTATCCAGCATCATCCATACGATTTCACAAACCTGGGAACGATCCTGGCTTTCACCAATAACGAACACTCCAAACCGTGTCTATTCTTGTCAGTAAGACTGGGACAGTGCATCTGGCAAGCAGGCCAAAGGCATATAGTGCACCTCGCGCTGCTGGACATGCATTGTTTACCACAACCCACGCAAACCCTTTGATCGGTGTGCAGAGACGGGCCCCAAACCAGTGGCGATTCTGAGAGGATTACATCGCCAGGGTTCAGATCCCTCGACGCCAGTAAATGGCGTCCTAGTTCAGGGTTCTCGTGGATCTCCCACGCGCGACAGACTGACTTGTGCCTTGGCCAGTCTCGTCGCTGATGATCCTTGCTGCAGTAAACTTGCAGCTTGCAGCCGCTGCACTTGAGGGTTGCATTCGTGGAGTCTCCGCAAATTGGGCAGGTAGTTTCTAATTCCATAGTCTGAACAGACGACTGGACATTCAATCGCTGTGATCTCTAAGACCGGCGACTGATTTGCAACAGAACATTGTAATGTAACGCGAGCATTCGCTTAGTCTGGACGGACTCTTGCGCTCGGTTCGCGCTCGACCGTGCTCCACTGGTCTGTCGGTTTTTTCACGAACCTCTTTGATCGTCTACTTTTCACTGAACCGAGTAGGAAGCATTAAGAGAGAATTCAGCCGAGAGTTGGAAGCGAGCATTCGTGATTCCAAAAACGACCTCGTAATGTAACGCTGGTGCCGAACCGTACAATTCGTGCCGAGCAGTTACATTACAGCGTTCTGTTGCAAATCAGTCGTCGACTTAAAGAGCAGTGGTCAAGGTCATGGTCGATGTCATCTAGCGAGGTCCTTTATATTCATTCTATGTATCACGACCGAACTGAAGCTTTAATTATTTTTTTTTATTGGGGGAAGTCTTCTAAAGACATCCTCGATCTTTAAGAAATTAGTGTTGACAAAGGAAGAACCCTCAGGGGCTGTAGCTATATATGTTATTGTAGCTACAGTACGGGTTTAGCAACCCCGAGGTACCCGAGCTATAGGGAGACTAGAGCTTTTTTTACATTTATATTATTTCTTCTGACAAAGTAACAATAGAATTCGGGCAGACAATACTTGAGGTGTTACATACGTGAAAATTATGTTCACTTCAACGTTAAACTTTATTGTTGCACTAGACTCATAAGTCAGGGATGATCAGTAACAACTCGAGATACGAAGAAACCGTAGGCGAAACTGCATATGGGAATATGTGTATTTATAAATCGAGCTTTTAAGATACCTTCTTAGTCGAGAATTAAAAATAAATTAAAATAAAATATTGAAATAAAAATTAATTTAAAAATGTAACATAAACGCAATTAGTTCCCCTAATGTGATGGAAAGAAATTTAATTATCAGTCGAGGATTAAAAAGAAAATTAATTATACTTACCTAAGAGAAAAATAATGCAAAACTGATTAGGAAAACGATAAAATGAAACAACGCATCGGTTTGCGAGAAATTCTTTTATTAACACTCCATTTTCCGAATGAGAAGAAAATATCGGTAAATGAAATAACAGTGTAGTGCTAGCGAGTAGACTTCTGGTACTGGCATTACGGGGTTCTGAAACCACGGCAGTCTACACGCCGGCAGTTTAATTATAGACGTTCCTATTTTTGACAAATAAAACTATGAGAGACCCACGCCGTAAGAAGCACAGATTTATCGGAGGTAATTGTTATAAACAATTTATTGTCCATTAGCGTACTTAACGTCCACAGAATGTTGATCGATTGAAATTGATAGTTGTGCATGTTACGATAGACAATAATCGCTCACGTTGGAGATTAATTATCTTTACAAGAATATACATTATGGAAGTTATTTGTCCCGATGTTTTTTTATCTACGACAAAACTCAGCACCCTTTTACGCTAACTCTAACGATAATACAACAATTGTATTTACAAAAAAAAATCGATCTAACGGATATACGTGATGAATTATATCGTAGGATTTAAATTTAACGAATGTGCGCCTATTCGTGAAGAAATTAGGAAAAATATTTAAAGTAAAAAAATATCGAAGAGCAATCTCGTTAACCTAGTATAAAATAGTCATAATTAATACGTACAATAATAATTGCTTCTTTAACGACGATACTGTTCATCTAATAATTATTTCTTTTTTAATAATGATCAACATGTATACTACAATAATATAATATTGAGAGTCTCCAAGACAATAATAAACTCTAACCAGAATATTATTTATAAGAAATATAAATATCATGAATCGCTTCACATGTAGCCTCTTATTGATTATTAATTCTTAGAAGAAAGTTAAATGTTTATCTTCTATTCTGTTTAAATCGCACGAAAAACTGGACTATTAGTGTACGTGAATTACATATACGATAATACATATATATACATACGCATTTACATACACATACAATCTGAGCGTATTCAATGGATAGTCTGATCATGACCGTCACGTAGTCACTAGATTTTTCGTCTGTGCATACGCATCCTTCACTACTCCGCGCAGGTTTTGTCGGGCAAGTAGAAACGAACGACAAGGATCAGACCTGAATAATGGCTGTTTAAATAGATTCGAGAATCGAATCCTTTAGTTCGCACTTCGCTTTAGTAAAAAATATATACGAATTAAAGGTGGAAAAGCTATGTATATTTCTACATCATATCGCACTAGACCATTCTTCTATCTCGTCAAGACCCATATCAAAAGTTATAGAATAAAATGATATATGGATTTTTTTTTTATTAATGCATCTTCATTCTTCAAGTCCATCTAAAAAATCCATCATCGCGACGTTTATTAACCTTTAACTTTAATCCAGAGCGCAACACTTTAAATATATTTCTAGAATTGTACCCATTTAACCAACAAAAATATATTACTACAACACCGCGGCAGATGCAAAAATCGCTATCTCTAGTTAAAATCATCACACTTATTTAACATTAAATCTTTGTTATTTAAAAAACTTAAGGTTTTCAACATCTTACAGCGAATTTCGTGTAACACTTTACGTATTCGGGCAGAAAGAATATTCTCATAATTAATATAACCAAAAATATAAAATTATTTTAAGATAAATATATAATGTTAATTGAACGAAAAAAGAAACTGAACTTGTGACAAATCATATTAATTAAATACCGCAGTAACGTAACATATTATCGGTTAAAACTTACTTCGAAAGACTGAGATATAGTTTAATTGAACTATTATGTTACGAATGATCATTTGATAAACGGTACAAAAATCTAGGCGAACCATATAAATTTATTCTAATAACAACCAGGTCACTGTATTAACTATCACGTAACTTAGAAAAATAAATACTTAGAGTTAATTTCTTTTCACTTTCTTCCTTTTTATTTCACGTGTGAAGCGAATTATAAAATAAAATTAATATTTTCGATCCTATTATCAAATAAATACAAACCGATAGAATCGGTAAAATTGGTTAGCGTTCTTTCTTTGTGTTACTTTTAACAGTACCATTGACACTACGCCACGATTTACGAAAACAAATTGAAGATCTTACCAAATGCCAAATGTCTTTACCTGTACATACTAGATTACAAACGATCAAAGATGGCGACTCGTATTCGTTTGGAACGATACCGTCAACGGAAGATTCAAAGAAACTAAATAACGGGAACCAAATTCTTGTTCTATTCGAATCGCGTTGCATTAATGCCTGGTTATTCGCTAATGTATGGTAATATAGAAATAGTCGAGAAGTTATGTAAAATGCTACAAAAACGTCAATGGAATAATGCTCGTGTGCTGCTAAGATGAAAAATATACCAAACATATTGAGCATCCAAGTAAACGTATGTAAAAAATACAGCGGTGTTGGAGTATCTGCAAATAAGAAAGTTATTAACTATCATTTCAACTTGTCGTAAAAGTCTTTTTCAAAATATAATAATGCTTACATTCGGTAATGAAAAAATTTAACATAGTGAGTGCAACAGTATGGCCGCTAAACATATAATCGCCGCAGGTTCTAACACCTTGAATAGACATACCAGCTCCGCGCCATATAACATAAGCCATGGCAATCTTATTGTATAGCTCGACATATGCAGCGCTATTAAACAGAAATGATAATAGATTTCTTATTTTTAATAATTATTTCGGTCGATAGCACGATGTTTATACCTTGTCCAATCTTCAGGTACTGTTCGTGGTTGACACTGTAAATGTGCGCCCGGTACTGACAAGGAAGTAATAAGCATTGTAACGCATCTTAAGAGGAAGACTGTACCAGATAAAGCAAAAAATCTTCGTAATAAGATAAATCTGCAAAGCATATAAACATTTACACACATTTTTAGTACAGTGTAGTTGAAAGTCAAAGAAATACTATAATATACTTTACCTGTATTTGTGAAAAATTAGTACAATGAGCCATATTGCAAACAGTATGGTTCCTGTGACTTCGCACATGTCGAAAGCCCAGGGAATATGTGGCACGTTATCTAAAAATATGTCAGGTAATGGTGGATATTTTTTCATGTCAGGCACTCTATCATGAACAATGACCATCACAAAGGCAGTAATCCACGTAACGATAAACAAATATGCTAAACTAATAAAAGTTTTCCAAATTTCGGGTGGCAAATGGGATGCATGACCATCTTCTGATACCGATGCAGAATAAAATTCATGTTCTATAGAACCTTCGGTATTTAAACCAGTACTAGGCATCTGTAAAGAAATATACACTAATATTATCATATAACTTTAATTAAAATGTACTTAACAAATATATAATTTTTGAGTTTAATCATTTTAATCAGAAAGTGTTCACTTACTTCGTTTTTATGATGGTTATAAAAATTTGATGTAGGAAATAAATCAACGTATCCCAACTCAAATAATACTGCCATGTTATCTCTTTGTACCTGTTTTATACTAATATATAATCTTTTTAGATCCCCAATTTTCTTTATATTCATGCCTTTAGACTTTAAATCATCCTCTTTTAGAGTCAGCAGTACCTTTCCATCAATTTCATGTTCAAGAAATAAATCAATGAATTTTTGATGTCCTGTCTCAATAAGCCAATGTGACACATCGCTTTGAGTCCAATCAGCAATATTTTTAGCAGGCATTGTTTATTTTAATTACAAAGTTATACAAATCCTATATAACAAAACACGAGCAATCTATTTAATATTCAAATGATAATTGCATTACATACAAAATTTATAATATATACACATTAAAAAACATAAAGAATGATCTCACTAGTAGTGTATAAACATTATTTAAAAATGCTAGGAACACTATTGTGTAGTATCAATTATGTTTTTAGGCATTGACAGTAATAATAATAAGGAAAATAAAAACACACTAGTATAATACGTTAAATCTATATATATTGTCTTAATCGAAAATGGTATCGTTTTCACCGATAAATTATTCTTTGTATCTGTTACATTTTACACGTCTAACCTAATTACAGAATATTATTTACCTACCTTAAAAATTTAACACGTGGATTATCAAAGGTAGATATCACAATTTTTTAGTGCGTTTAGTATACATAATGTATGCGTGTAATCAATATCGTATTATCGTTAAACAAAACCATACATTGGCAGTATTCGTAAACAAATCAATCCAGACAAAATCATCAAAATGTCACGAGCACATTTGAACACATTCATCGCCTAATTACTTCGTCAATTCGAGGAAACAAACGCAGATCTTGACACATTTCGTAATTACTTAACGCAACATGAATTCTTAGTCATATCAATTAACGATAAATACTAATAAATTGGTTCGATCGACGGAAAGAAAGGAAATTCTGCATCGGATACAAACGTATACAACATAAATGAAAATCATCTTAAAAGGAAACGTCGGGAAAGATGAATCGCGTTGATTGTAACTTCATTTTCCACAAATATATATATAACGTTAGACGTCAAATACTATTTCTCGCTTTCAATACATTAATTTTCGACTATGTATACACGTAGTGACATTTCACTTCCGTATTGCCTCGGATGTATGTCGTGCCTGAACTTCATTATGCATTTGTGCATAAAATTTTCCTATAACAACAGTGCCAAACAATTTTTCTTTGTTATTGATCTCGGATGAGTGCTCATCCTGAAACGTATAAAGATAACGGACTATAATCAGTAACAATTACTCTTTCTTTGTGACATTTGTATCTGCAGTCTCGATATCTCGATCGATTTCAACCTCGACTTAGGATTTGTTTACAAAGTCGCATTTCAGATGTATCCAGAGAGACCAATGCTCAGTAAACAGCTCTGTGAACGGGTTAGCTTACAAATTTTTCAATTTCAGTCATAGCGATCGCTCCCTGATAGCAACCAATCACTGAACTATAATAAGAGTCGTTTTACAGTGGCGCTATCGGTGGGAAAACGCCCAAGCTTGTAATGAATGTAATTCCTACTGTTGCCGCTAGATCTGGCCAGTTGATTAAAATTAGTGGCGCCATCGGTGGGAAAACGTTCAAGTTTGTAGTGAAAATAGTTCCCGCCATTTCTATAAGATGGCGCCGTCGA